AACATAAAAACATTCTTCAAGGAAGAGGCTATAACCTCTCATTTTTTAGCAGCTCAGTGGCCTGATTTTTGGTTTTGGAGGGTTACTGGCACTAGTGAATGTTTCAGTTTGGGAGGGTTTGGGAGGGTAATAGTACCCTGTACAGTGTCTTATAAGCTGTGATGGTTAGTATTGCCAACTTGTCAGACTCTAAAATTACAGGGAAGACAAGCCTCTGGCTATGCATGTGACAGATTATGTTGGTTGTTTTAATCAATTCAGAAATACACACCTTAATTGTGACTAGGGACTCTGGACTGTACACAATAGAAAAAGGGAGCTGAGCAATATGCAGTAATTCATTGCTGTGCATATAATGTGACCAGCTTCTTTAAGCTCCTGCTGCTGTGACATCCCTGCCATGATATGGATTGTAACTGGGAATTGAAGCTGAGCAAACTTTTTTCCAATTAGGTGCTTTTGCAGTGTAGTTTATCATAGCAACAGAAAAGGAACGAAGACATAAGCTATCAGCAATATCTCTAGATATATACTTGCAATGAGAAAGAGGAACCAAGCCCACCCACACTGGTACCTGTCTTGTCAGTGATTCCCATCCCTACAGGAATGGAAGTGAGTGATGTAACTCCTTTAGCCCAGACAGTTGCTGCAAAAGGAACAGTAAAATATTCATTGTTAGGAACTATGTTTTCTTAGGGGCCGAGTAAATAAATGGTACAGGTTCCTCTCTAGCTGGCTGGAGGGGCATAAGTAAGAGCTGGTCCCCAAGGAAAATGTTCCCTAATTTGCAAGACAAAGTTGGCTTTGGTGGTAAATATGAAAGTAAAGTCGCCCAATACTTTTTCCCAGGTAGATAAAGCTTTTGCTAGTACAGTCCCAGTTAGAGGTTGAAAGGGGTCCTGTGAGATGTCCTGGGTCAGGCTTTTAGCTTTATTTTCCTAATGTATGAAATTTCTTTTGGTGTCTACTGGAACCCATTCAGTTAGCTTTTCATAAGTGAGTATAGTAAGCAATCCATGGATTCCAGACTGGAACAGCCCTTTGAAGGAAATCCATGTGATTTCCTGGTAAATGTGGATTGTCCATGGGCTCCATGTTTAGGTACCAAGATATGGCTTTGATACAAAGATACGGCTCTTAACCTCACAGCGAAGATGAGATGGTTTATTTTAGAGTGAGGTTTGTATGACCATGTTCTGTGAACACATATTTAGGTTACTCCAAATCCCATGTTCCCATGTAGTAACAGTTTTATATAGCTTTTTCTTTATGAACAGACACTTTAAAATACATGGTAGAAACATCCTGTAGGTAGGTTATTGCAAAACAGAGAAATCTCTGTTATGACCTTCAGATGCTGTCTGATGACATTCTTGGCCTTTGTGTTGATAGAGCATAAGAGGAGGGAGGGTAAGGGGAGGAGGCTGTAACTCCCTGATACACATGAACCTCTCAGGAGTGGATTGTTCACAATGTTAGGGTCTGTATTGGAATCCCTTCTGGGCTTCCTTGGTTCCTTTGTAAACCAAGTGTTCTCAATAAGAGACCATGAAGGCCTGTATATGTGATATCTCTGACCATTTGACTTGTCTCATAAAGTAAGTGTGATTGTACTTCAGTGTAACTAGGGCTGCCATGAAGCACCCACTGCTCTAGTTTGTCTAATTTATATTATAACCAAACTGTATTGTAAAAATAAATAAATAAATAAATAAATAAATAAATAAATATGCTTTCTCTTTAGCTTATCCAGATCAAGTTGTTTTTACTAGTTAAGTATGTAGCCAATTGGAGATTTCAGTGGGATTGGGGGGTATTACAATAGAGAGAGAGAGAGAGATCTAAGGACAAGGAGGGTATAAGTCATTAAAAGTCTAAAAAGTCCTTTTAGAGGCTTCTCTATCTATAGCTCAGCCTTAAGATGCCAGACCCCTCTGGTCTTAGATGGACATAGGCGCCTTTTCCTTAGAGTGACCTCTTCCAATTATGTCTGGTCTCCTAACATGATAGTCTGTCCTTACAATTCTGGATCCCCTGCAGATGATTGTGAGCTGGCTGATGTGCGTGCTGGGAGCCAAACCCTGGTCCTCTTAAAGAGCAGCTGATCCATCTCTCTAGCCCCAGTCTCTAGCATTGATTTTAAACTCCAGCTGTGCTCTGACTGTAAGGGTTTTGCAATGGGTTCTGGGATGTGTGCACTCCATGATGGAAATTTACAAGAGCCCAGGCTGTGAAGTAGGTACTGGAAGGTATGCTTAAATATTCTTCTGGGAATAAATGGAGATCTGTGCCTCCCAACCATCCCTATATTCATGATAGAGATTTGAGACCATAAAAGTATTGATACCCACTTAGAACATTTGCTTTTCTGGAATCCAATGTAACTTGCATGTATCCAGATGCCTTTATTTCCAGAATTTGGAAATTGGTGTGTGTTAACTCAAATACAATGCGTTAAAGTTGAGGTACTCAGTGCATGGCAAATTCCACCCTGGGAGATGTCAATGTGGTGGTAGTGGGGGGGGGGGCTCAGGATATGCAAAGTTCCCAGGCAAGCCTCCAGGGGCTTATTGACCTTTGCTCTTTGCTGAATTAACTGTCCAGGGCAGGCTATATAAAAGCTTAGCTGTCAACTCAGCAATTAGCAGGTTGTGCAGATATATCCCTTCCAGGGATAAACCAGGTCTCCTCTGCACTGATTCCATGTGTTGAAGGCAAGGGGAGTACTTATAAGCCCATACAAACCCCTGAGTTCATTCTGTAGTCTAGGCAAACTCATGATTGCCTAGATCTGTACCCCTACCCCCACCCCCACCCCCAGTGTGAGAAATTAAGATCCATCCATAGAAGACTACAGAGATAGGTGGCATATGCATTTTCCAAATCCTCTGCTGGCATTATTTGTTGGGATCATTTCTCACTGACATGGCATGTTGCCTAAGGAGGAATCCATGCCAGGTGTGGGTCTGCTTTCCCTACCCATTTGATGGGGGGGGGGGCATTTCACAAATTCTTAGTACACAGAAGTCTGTCGACTCATTTATGCCTTGGAGAGAGATTTGAAACCTATGTACGTGTTCATTCAGATTGTTTATGAATGGAGTAAAGATACATGGTATTGTACCTTCTGAGCATATACTGTGCCATAGACCTGTGCTACCCTAATATCTGCCTTTTTATTGGTATGTTCCTTCTTTAAAGGCTCAATTTCATTTTTATGGTTATATTTATGTAGACTGTTACTCTGTGTGTGTGTGTGGGGGGGGTGTGTGTGTGTGTGTGTGTGAGAGAGAGAGAGAGAGAGAGAGAGAGAGAATGTGGGGGGTGTGTGTACATGCACACAAATGTTCAAGCATACATACACATGAGGAAGCCAGAGATAGATATTAGGTGTCTTTCTCTATCACTCTACATTTTGTTTTCCTGAGAGACTGTCTTTCACTGAACTAAAAGCTCACTATTTCACTCAGGCTGGCTGGCTAGCAAGCTCTCAGGAACCACCAGTCTCTACCCCACGCTCCCCCCACCAAACACACACACACACACACACACACACACACACACACACACACACAGTGCTGGAATTACAGATATACAGCCATGTCCAGCTTTTTATGTAGGCTCTGGTGATTCAAGCTCAGATCTGCACATTTGCACAGAAAATGTTTTTTGTTTTTTAACCCACTACACCATCTTCCCAACCCCTATTGCTCATTTAAAAAAAAAAAAAAGATTTTAGTTTATGAATGTCTTAGTTTGGGGTTCTATTGCTATGATAAAACACCATGACCAAAAAAACTTGGGAAGGAAAGGGTTTATTTGGTTTAAACATGCACATCATAGTCCATCATTGAGTGAGGTCAGGACAGGAACTAAAACAGGACTAGAACTGGAGGCAGGAGCTGATGTAGACACCATGAAGGGAAGCTGCTTACTCACTCTCTCCTCGTGGCTTGCTCAGTCTGCCTTCTGACAGAACCCACAACCACCAGCCCAAGTATGGCACCACCCACAGTAGTCTGGGCCACCCCCATCAACCACTAATTAAGAATATACCTCATAAGCATTTGTTTCTTTGCTTGCTTTTTTTTTTTTTTTTTTTTTTTTTTTTTTTTTTTTTTTTTGTCTTTTTGAGACAGGTTTCTATGTGTAGCCGTAGCTGTCTTGGAACTTGCTCTGTAGACCAAGCTAGTTTTGAACTCACAGAGTTCTGCCTGTCTCTGCACCTCCTGAGTATTGGGACTGAAGGAATGTGCACCACTGCTGGCTTTTTTGTTGTAGTCATTGGTTTCGGTGTGGTTTTGCTTTTCAAAACAGGGTGTCTCTGTGCAACCTTGGCTGTCCTGGAAGACCAGGCTGACCTCAAATTCACAGAAATCCACCTCTACAACCCCATTTATGGAGCCATTTTCTTAATTGAGGCTCCCTCCTCTCAGATGACTTTAGTTAGTGTCAAACTGACACTAACTAATTGGCACAATTAATGGTTTACCTCCATGTATATATACACGTCCTCATGTACATGCCTGAAGCCCACAGAGGTCAGAAGAGGGTGTCAGCTCCCCCAGAACTGAAATTATTGATGACTGTCAGCTGAACGTGAGTCCTCTGGAAGAGTGGCCAGTGCTCCCAACAGTACCTCTGTTCCTTTAATTCTATTTTTTAAAGTAATAAAAAGTTTCATCCTTATGTACTCATCTATGGATTTTACTCATCTATGGATTTTGTTTGTACTGTGATTCCTGGGAAACTCAGTAATTTTTTTTTAATTCATAAATTAACCAGAGGTAAGATGGTTGCATTCAGTCTTCTTTGTCACATAAAACAGAATATAAACCGAGCTGTAGCTTCTATTAAACACTAGCAAGACAGTGGTGTGTGGGCTATGAGAGAGAGAGAGAGAGAGAGAGAGAGAGAGAGAGAGAGAGAGAGATACATGGACTCTGGTTTTCTGTTCTCAAGGCTAAGGCCTTGGGTTGACAAGAGGTGTGTCATTACAGGGGCTGGTGTCATTTGAGGACGTGGCTGTGGACTTCTCGCGGCAGGAGTGGCAGGAGCTGGATGCTGCTCAGAGGACCCTCTACAGGGATGTGATGCTGGAGAACTACAGCAGCCTGGTGTCCTTGGGTGAGTTTGACTGCTGTGTAACTCTCAGTAGCAATTGTTTTCTTCTTTGTTGATAGGTTTGGTAATATTTGCTCATACTAATGGCTATTATACATTTTCAACTGGCATGTAGTAACTTGGACTATGCAGCATTAGAAATTATTCCTCCCTTTCACTGTACCCCAGGCTGCACTAACCACCCCCTCCCCTAGTCCTTTCCCTCATGCTGTAACCACTGTTCCGTCCCTTACTTCTTTGAGTTCAACTTACATGTTCAAGTGTAATGCGAACATGCAGCACTGTCCTGTTGGTTTTCTCTTTCTTTCCTGACTTCTTTCTTAGCTTTTGTTTTTGTTTTTTGTTTGTCTTTTACCAGATATATTTCACATGTTTATTGTGGCTTTTCTAGAGGGACATAGAAGAAACTGCCCACCACAAATAAGAGAAAACTGGCAGAAGAAGTATCTGTCAATTTCCTTTTGCTGGAGCTCCAAAGTTAGTTTCTTAAGAGAACATGGAGTTGGGCAGGAGGAAGCCATTGTTGGAATTTCAAGTGAGGCGTTGATGACTGTCTTAAGTGGGAATGTTTACTTCCCATTACTACTATAGACCAATGGTTCCCAACCTTCCTAGCTGTGACCCTTTAATGCAGTTCCTCGTGTTGTGGTGAGCCCCCCCAATCCATAAAATTTCTTTCATTGCTACTTCATTAATTGTGATTTTGCTGCTGTTCTTTTTTATGATCACTCTCTTTCCCTGTTTCTCTTAAAGATTGTGAGTTATAAATCAAAATGTCTGTTTTTGTTGTTGTTTTCTCTCCAGGTTTTCTTACATCATTACATTGGGTTATGTGTCAAACAATGTAATTCCCCATAAGGATGACATTCCAGTGAGTGAAGTCTGTGGTGCAAACCCTCTCTGACACAAGTTCTAATTCAGCCATTCAGCCATTCAGCCATTGTGGGGGAAAAAATCCTGAAACGGGACTGTTGTCTTTTGTCCATAAATGTGACTTGGCATAAATCTTTTATTATTTCCAATTTACAGGGCACTGTTTAGACAAACCTGAGCTGATCTCCAATTTGGAACAAGGATTGGTGCCATGGAATGGTGCAGAAGGCACAGAGCAGTGCCCACCAGGTGAGACAATGCTACTGGGCAAGAGTCAGCAAGCATCAGCAAGCAGTGAGCTCCTCAGCTATTGGTCATATTGAGATGTTTTCACCAACTTTTCTCAAAGCCAGACACGAAGAGAGTGGGTTCTTGAACCAGACACTTACTTTAGACACTTTCCAAATCAGGGACATGTCAGATCATTTCCTGCTCTGGTTTGGTTGTTGTTGTTATTGTTTCCATATATATATATATATATATATATATATATATATATATATATATATATATATTTGTTTGTTGTTTTGAAGTGCTAAGGATCGCTCCCTGTGCATTCTTTATGCATTCTAGGAAAACACTCTAGCAGCCTAGCTCTGTCCCCATCTCCACCCCTCACTTGTCCTTTCCTCCTTTCCATAGATTAATTTCTATTAGGCATTTGTTGACACGTTGGATTTTTTTTTTCCAGTTCTTGCGCTTTGGTTAGCTTCAGGGTCATTGTCTTTGTAATTATTTGGATAGCAATAGTCATCACACAAATGTATCATGGGAAGGAAAAGTGAAACAAAGAAGAGTCACAAAGGTTGTTAACAGGAGAGCAGGAAAAAGCATGGGGTTCTATTTTAGGAAAGGCATCAAGTAAACTAACCTCCAATGAATTACTTTCTTACAAACTAAGCACTGGATCATGATTGGCTGAGTTAGGCTTTTTGTCATCAACCTAGGCCAGGATTATCTGGAAAGAGAGGAACTTCAATGAGAAAATGCTTCTATCAGATTGGCCTGTAGGCAAGACTGTGGTCCATTTTCCTAATTGGGGATTGACTCGGGGAGAGCTCAACCTACTCTGTGGGGTGCCACCCCTGAGCAGCTAGTTCTGAGTTCTAGATAAAGCAGGTTAAGGAAACCATGAGGAGCAAGACAGTAATCAGTGATCCTCCATAGCCTCTGCTTCAGTTCCTGCCTCCAGGTTCCTGCCCTGACTTCCATCAGTGATGGAGCATAAGCAAGATGTTCAAAACAAATAAACCCTTTCCTTCCCAAGTTGCTTTTGCTCATAATGTCTTATCACAGCCACCAAAACCAGCAATCTTGGTTAGTGTAGATGTACAAATGTAAAACACAGTGGCCCACAGGAAGTTTTAAGGTTACAGTTACTGTTTCAGTTACCTGTGTAATTTTTAAGAAAATGAGAAAAAAAAATGAATTAGAGGTTCAGGAGTAAAGTGGCAGTTAGCAGGTTTAGCTATTTGGGAATGGGAAGACCATCATGTAGAAAAAAGAGAGACTAAATTCTGAGGATAGAGAATGAAACAGATGATTAAGAAGTCGATGTGATTATAGCTGAAAGACAGGAAAACAGAAAGACGGTGCCGAGGAAAAAAAGGAGCCATGTAAGTCCAGCCTCGTCTCTTCAGAGCAAGGGAAACCAAGAACCACACTCAGTCTGGAGAGTGCAAGGAGCCCCAATGCCAGTAGACCTACATTCCTCCACTCTGGAGTTCTTTAAACATCCGTTCAGTGCTTGTCTGTGTTTTGTGTTTTGTGTGAGTTGCTGCACTGCAGACTGTTGTGGGGAAGTCATTTGCATTTCTCCACATTCCATGGGGTGCCATAAACAGCCGCTACCTTGATAGTGCTCCTATTGTATGAGGTTAAGCTGTTCTTGGAGCATGAAAGTTGGGAACAGTCACCAAATACAGGAGCACTGGGCACGCTTGCACTAGGAAGGAAATGGCCACCATTGTGTTGATGCAAGCAGTAGAGGATGTCTGCTGGTCTCACTCTCTATGGCGAAGTATGAACCTGTACTGGCTGATTTTGTGTCAACATGACACAAGCTAGAGTCATCAGAGAAGAGAGAGCTGTTGAGGAAATGCCTCCTGTAGAGGCAGCTGTAAGGCATTTTCTCAATTAGCAATCAGTGAGGGAGGGTTCCCGGCCCACTGTGGGTGGTACCATCCCTGTGCTGTTGGTCCTGGGTTCTATAAGAAAGCAGGTGAGTAAGTTATGAGTAGGCAGCACCCTCCATGCCCTCCGTATCAGCTCCTGCCTCCAGGATCCTGCCCTGTTTGAGTTCCTGTCCTGACTTCCTTCGATAATAAACAATGCTGTGGAAGTCAAAGCCACATAAACTCTTTCCTTCCCAGCTCACCTTTTGGTCATGGTGTTTCATTGCAGCAATAGAAACCCTAACTAAGACGGAGCTCCAATTCAGTCTGGCATACACACCACAAACTTTGTTGAGGTCAGCAATGACTCTTTTTCGTAAACAGGAATGCAGCCCTGTCACAACATAACCGTGATGGGCCCAGCCCTCTGCCAGCACCCAGCACCCACTGAAAATGTGATAGGAACTCCAGGCACAAGCTCAGCCTCTGCCCTTGCTGCTGGAGGCAATGGTAGAAAAGATTAAAAGCTTTCCTTCTCTGATGGTGAATTTATTGACAAAATTCTCTGGAAGTTCTCAGTGCTTCCGGTTGAGGTGCAAAGATAAGGAGAAATATATTAAAATCACAAAGCATTAATTATGTGGCATTGGCTGTCTCAATTTCAAGACTATGTCATCAAGCAACGAACTACATTAGCTACATTATTTGTGTTTTGTTCTTGAACCTAAAGATGATGATTGGTATTAAATAGGAAAAAAAAAAAGGTTCTCTGATTTGTTTTTTTTCCTGAGTTATTAGTATTACTGTTCAATTTCATTTTTTCAAGTCTTATTTTTAGTTGTCTTTGTACCTGTCTACTTTTGTGTGCTTTTTTCTTACTTTGTAATGAAATTATTTTATCTTATATTCTCTCTTCTTCCACATACCTTTTTGGGGGACTGTATTTTGTTTTATTTTGAGACAGGGTCTTTCTATTATGTAGCCATGGCTTTCCTGGACTCGCTCTGTAAATCAGGCTGGCCTGAAACTCATAGAAATCTACCTGCCTCTGCCTCTAGAGCACTAGGATTAAAGGTGTGTGCTACCACACCTGACCTTTTTCTGTCTTTTACTTAACCTCAGTTCTCTCTTTTATCCCTTTCTCTCCCTTCTTCCTTTAGCTCATTCTTTTACTATTCATTTGACTTCTGTTTTAACCTCATAGTCCATTCACCACTGTTATTACCTGTCCCTTCCATGGGCTTTGGCAGGGCTGGCAACTGTCCTTACTTTTCATGTCTGTTTTGGGTTCCTCTGGGGCTTCAGTGACCAATAACTCATAGGGAGGTATCCTTTAGCTTGCACTGAGATTTTCATGTGATAACCTATAACTTTTGCATTGTCCACACATAAAGGGTACTTCTGTTCAAACTCCTCTGTGTGTGTGTGTGTGTGTGTGTGTGTGTGTGTTAATTTACAATCTTATTTTACATATCAATCCCAGTTCCTTCTCCCTCCCATCCTCTTATGCCTCCCATCCCATCCCCTCTATGCTCCCCAGGAAGGGTGAGACCTTCCACAGAAGATCATCAAAGTATGTTACATCACTTGGGGCAGGGCATAGGCCCTCTCCTTTGTGTCTAGGCTGAGTGAGTATACTCTATGGGAAATGGGCTTCCAAAGTCTATATGTATACTAGGGATAAATACTGATCCATTACCAGAGGCCCCATAGACTGTCCAGGCCTCCTAACTGACACCCATGTTCAGGGGGCCTGGTTCAGTCCTATGCTGGTTTCACAGCTGTCAGTCTGGGGACCATGAGCTTCCCCTTGATGGGGATGTCTTCTGTACATGTTTCTCTTATTAGTCAATGAATAAAGCACTGTGGCCTGTGAGGCAGGATGATAGGTAGGACTAGGAGACAAGGAGGATTCTTGGAAGTGTAGGCAGAGAGCAGTCAAGATGTAGGACACTGGAGGAGTAATACCATGCCAGACATCTGGGCAAGCCACAGCCTTGTGGCAATACATAGATTGATACATATGGGTTAATAATTAAGATAGAACTAACCAATAAGAAGACCTAGTCATTGGCCAACAGCTTTATAATTAATAGAGTCAGTGTGTTATTTTGGGACTGATAGGGCTCTGGGACCAGACTGGCAGGAAAGAAAACTCACATTACACCCCTTTGTTCAGGTCAGCTGTTTCTGTGGGTTTCTCAAGCCTGGCTAGCTTATTGGTCATAAGTTCTTTAATCTTTTTTGCGGAGAAGGGGGTTTGAGACAGGATTTCTCTGTATTGCTTTGGAGCCTGTCCTGGAACTAGCTCTGTAGACCAGGCTGGCCTCAAACTCACAGAGATCCGCCTGCCTCTGCCTCCCAAGTACTAGGATTAAAGACGTGTGCCAGTTATTTAACCTTTTTTCTCTAGGTTGGCAGTTGATGTTCCAGAGCTTGGAATACAGTTTTCTAGGCATTTCTGCCTCTAAAGGTTTTAATAGCACAATCTACTGTTATTCTGTTGGTTTGCGTTTGTACATGTGTTGACCTTTCCCTCCTATAGCTTCCACACCCTCTCTGTACTATGTATTTTTAGTATTTTAACTATGGTGTGTTATGAGAGGTTTGTGTTGTTGTTGTTGTTGTTTGGTTTTGGGGTGTTTTGCTGTTGTTTTCTGGCTGTTTATTTGGTATTCTAAAGGCATCTTGTGTCTGGATAAGCACGTTTTTCTCTAGATTTTGGGACTTTTTGTGATTTTATATTTATGCTTTTGGTGTGATATTCTTTTTATGCCAATAATTCGAAAGTTACATGCTTTATGGTGTTTCAAAGCACTCTCACGTTCTGTTCATTTTTTTAATTTATCACTGACTTTTATTGGGTAATCCAGTTCCTCTACCTCGTCTTCTAGCCCTAACACTGTTTTCCCATTTGATCTATTCTATTTATGAGGCTTTCTATCAAAGTTTTTATTTGGTTTATTGACTTTTTAATTTCTAGCATTTGATGCAGTTTGGATTTTTTTTTTCAGAAATTCTGTCTCTTTATTGAATTATTTTTTCTCATGTCTCAGATTGACTTCCTCATTTCATGTTTTTTGTTCTCTTGCAATATATTCCCACCTTCTTTGAGTTGCTTGAATAAAGTTACAACCATTCCTTTGAATTTGTTGTCTTGGAACTTTTCCAGGTCATTCCACTGGGGCCATGACTATGGGAGAGAGCAAGTTGTCATGATTTTCGAGTTATGTTTGTTTCTGTTCAGGAACTTGCATCTGAAGCAATGTGTTTGTTGAATCTCTTTGTTCATATTCCTTTCATTTTTCAGTGGAGGTGTGTGCACTATTCATGAAAGGACTGATTTGTAAGTGGATTGGGACTTTATTTCCCCTGTGGGGTTAGTATTGAGGGCTACAGGTTCTGTCTTTAGTAGTCTTTTGAGAGTCTTTTACTATCTGTGCTAACAGTCATCCAATGATCAGCACATCTCTTTCTGGTCCTCTCTGTCAACCCCCCCCCCACACACACAGTGTCTCTCCATATCTGGGTGCCCTACTTTAAGCTCTGGTCAACTGGTATATTGTTGGTCAACAAGTTCCTAGGAAAGCTAGCTATAAAGTCAGGAGGCCTATAGGATTAGGAAAGTGATTCTACATAGGAACACTGGGAAATGAGATCTTAGAGGAGCCTGGAATCTTGTCAAAATACAGAGCTTACCAAGGGTATGGGGGTGCAGTATCCCAGAGAGGAAGAGTAGTCTAGCAATCATCACAGGGAAGTGGGATTCTCAAGGAAGAATGTGTAAAGTCTGTGCCTAGCAACACAAAGAAATGAGATCATGAAGGAGGCAGGTATCCTATGGGGTGAAAAAGAGCAAGGCCTACCTGGACGAACAAAGAAGCAAGATTTCAGAGAAGCCTGATGACCTATGGGATATGAATATATGATGTCTAGCTCTCAATTTTTTTTATTTTAACATATAGCAAATGTCACTCTTCTAGCTCAGTGTATAGTCACATAACCATCACTACCATAATCAAGATATATAAAAGAGTTTATGCACCCCAGAAATATTTTTACTAAATTTGACATTATTTAATTTCTCAGATTGATAGTCAAATTCCTATAAATAGCTGTGAATATAAAATGCAAGTTTTTAATATTGCTCTTATGAGCATCTATCACTCACTAAATGATCATTTTAATACCATTTTAGATATCCATAAATGGAGTGCCCTGGCTGAAACAACACAGCAAGCTCAAGAGAAGTATTTGGGCCAACTTGAAATCATCAAGATAAATACATCAAATGAAGATATGGTTGAAGTAGAAAAAATATTCAACGTGGACTCAAACTGTATTTCAAATATGAACATGAAGAATGAATTCTATTCTAGAATGTTCCATCAGGAGCTTGTTAATCCATGGCAAGATGTCCCTTTGCCTAGTGAGCCTGATGAGAGGCAGGTAATGGATATAACTTGTGATTTGAATGGAACACAGGACATTCTCTCATACCCTGACCATTTTACTCAGCACAGCAAGGATCAGTGTTCAGAGGGTCATTTTCAGTATTTGGGGCCAAATGAAACCTTCCATCAAAAAGCAATATTAACACCTGAGAAGTTTCATGTGCAGAATACCTCAAGGAAGTTTAGTAACTGTGAGAAATTCTTGAATGAGGGAGCACTTCCTGCCCAATATATGATTCCATTAAGACAACAAGCTTTGGGATGGGATACATGTCATAAAATGTACCCTAGCAAGACTGAACTCAGCAGCCATGACAATATGCACATGGAAGAGAAAAGTTATAAATGTGATTATGAGAAACCCATCCTTACCAAATCATACCTTACAAAACATCAGGAAGTACAGGCAGGGGAAGAGCCCCAAGGACACAAGGAAAACATCAAATTCTGTCTGGATGCTGAACTACAACTGGATGATCAGAAAATGCACACAGAGAAACAAATTTATGAATGTAAAGTATCTGGAAAAACCTTTTACCATGAGTCCCATCACATCAACCATCAGAGATCACACACCCGTGAGAAGCCCTGTGCATGTGAGGAAGACAGGAAAGCCATTGATGATAAGTCAACCCTCACCCAACATCAGAGACTTTGTACAGATGATAAGTCCTGTGAGTGTAGAGAATGCAGCCAGGCTGCCTACCACAATTCACTAGTGTCTCAATATCAGAGAGCTCATGCAGATGAGCAGCAAAATGAATGCAAAGAATTAATGAAAATTTACTTCTATATCTCAAGCCTCACTCAGCACCACACTCCTACTCTTGAGAAACCTTATGGATGTAATGATTGTATGAAAACTTTCTCCCATAAGTCACAACTCACTCGACATCAGAGAACTCATACAGGGGAGAAGCCCCATGAATGTAAAGAATGCAGGAAAGCTTTCTGTCATAAGTCACACCTCACCCGGCACCAGGGAATCCATGCACCTGAAAAACCCTATGAGTGTAAAGAATGTCAGAAAGCTTTCTACCTGAAGTCACAACTCACTCAGCATCAGAGAACTCATACAGGGGAGAAGCCCTATGAATGTAAAGAATGCCGGAAAGCATTCTTCCGCAATTCACACCTCACTCAACATCAGAAAATCCATACAGGCGAGAAGCCACACAAGTGTAAAGAGTGTGGGAATGCTTTTGCCCGTAAGTCACACCTCACTCAGCATCAGAAAACCCACACAGGCGAGAGGCCCTATGAATGTAAAGACTGTGGCAAAGCCTTTTCTCGAAAGTCACAAGTGATGCAACACGAGACAACTCATACTGGTGAGAAACCTTATGAGTGTAAAGAATGCAGGAAGACTTTCTATCTTAAGGCATACCTTACTCGACACCAGGTAATTCATAAACCTGAAAAGCCGTTTGAATGTAAGAGATGTGGGAAAACTTTCTCACGTAAGTCATACCTCACACGCCATCAGAAGACACATCGAAGTGAGAAATCCAATGTAGGTGAGAAACTGTAGGAATGCAAATTACAAAGAACTTTCTTAAACTAGTCTTAAACTAGGACTTACACAGGTGAGAAGCCCCATGCGTGTAGGGAAATGTGCTGTTATGGCACCTCAGCTAACGTCAAAAAACTCATGCCAGTAATAAAGCCTATAAATGTAAAAGTATGAGGTTTTTATACAGGACTTATGCCTTATGTTTGTGGGGATTCGTACTATAAGAGAGAAAGGGGCCATACCCTGGGAATCCTGGGTATGAACCTGGCCATTCCCAGGTAGTGGTGGTGGTGCACATCATTAATGCCAGCACTTGGGATGCAGAGGCAAGAAGATTTCTCTGAGTTTGAGGCCAGCCTGGTCTACAGAGTGAATTCTAGGACATCCAGAGTTATGCAGAGAAACCCTGTGTCAGAGGGGGGGGGCTTTCAAGAGTCCCCTGATACCAGACATATACATTGCTTGATAACTGGTAGATATGAATGAGAGAGTCTCTAACATTTGAAACAAAACTTTCTTCTCCTTCCTAGATCAGGAAAGTGTGAACCATGTTCGATTGTTGTGAACAAGAACATGGGGCTTGCTCCAGATTCCCACTGAGAACTATCTTTCTAGACCTATGATTCAGCTCACCTCCTTCCCCTGTGATCTGTCATAGTGTGCCTTGGTCCTGTATGAGTATGTGGTGAAAAGCAGGGCTCCCTTCTGGGCCTAACCTATGCTTGGGTAACAGTGGCTCACCCATGGGTTCACTGTGGAAATGCCTAGGCTTCAAGTTCCCTTACTATTGCTCGAGTGTATATTTTCCATCATAAGGAGGGGCGATCTCTAAGCACTTTAGGCTTGTGTCCCACCCCATTGAGTGCTGAGCTTCTCAGTGAAATATCAATCAGAAAGTGACTATTGTTGACCCAGCTCCAATCCTAAAACACTGGCACCAGGAATTTTGACTGGTCAGAAAATAGCTACCACTGCCTTGTCTCAAAGATCATCAAAGGGAAATACTTTAATTAAATACTTTAATTAAAAAATACACATGTGAGCCGGGTGTTGGTGGCACACGCCTTTAATCCCAGCATTTGGGAGGCAGAGGCAATTGGATCTCTGTGAGTTGGAGGCCAGCCTGGTCTACAGAGGGAGTTCCAGGACAGGCTCCAAAACAATACAGAGAAACCCTGTTTTGAAAAACCAAAAATAAATAAATAAATAAATAAATAAATAAATAAAAGTTTTTAGTTAATTTCAGATGTGTCAAGTTGACAATCAAGAAGAGCCATCACACCGGGTCTCATACATCCTATTACTCTGGGATGATAGGCATGTGCCACCATGCCCCTATTATTTACTTCAATAAAGCCTAAGCTGCTAATATGCATATCACACAGCTCATTTACCTATATACTCATGTAATTGTAGTTCACAAGGGGCTAGTGAGGCCCACAGCACATTTCAAGGAGTTCTAGGAGATAGGTTATAGAACAAAATTCAGGTTACATCCAGGGATGTAAGACAGACAGACGATAGAATACACACACACACACACACACACACACACACACACACACACACACACACACTAGTTACAACGAAATGGTAAGGCCCTATTATTGAAGGCACAATGCATTTTGTTGTGGAGGTAAAGAAATACAGCTGGAAGTGAAATCCTCCTTCTAATGAACCTTCATGGTGCTTCAAAAGACTGTCTAGGCCACTCTTGATTCATCACTTCTTTTGGCTATCCCAAAGGTTCCCTCCTTTACCCTGGCCATGCACCATGAAGGCTAGGATCAGAGAGGAAGTAATCCCAAGTCCTTCCATCATTCTACACACTACAGGATGAGCACGGACAATGGGTGCCAGGCAGAGGAAAGGGAAAGGCAGATTGCTCCCCTGTGAGATGTGCCCTCATCCTTCAGACAATTCAGGAGAAAGGGGCATGTACTCTAGCAGGAAAACAATATAAAAAAAAAATATAAAGGATTCAAGATTTAAGACAGGTGTCACAGTATAAGCTCATCTCACACTTCCTCCATGTAAAGTAATAATGACAAATAAATAAAGATAATTATGGGTGTGCTGGCTCACTTCTTTCATGGCAGAGTTCAGGGGGCAGAGGACCACTGAAGTTCTAGCCAGATAAAAACAATGTCTCACAAACTGTGTGGTGTTGCATGGCTGTCATCCCAGAGACTCTAGTGACAGCTGACCTGGACTGAGTGACCTTAAGACCAGCCTTATATGGAGATGGGCATGGAAAACTGAGATATAAATTAATGGCAAACAATTTACCTAGCACAGAGGTGGCCCTGTATGTCAGGCTAGAGGCCAGAAAATGTCAAATCCTCTGGAATTGGAGTTATAGACAGTTAAGGGCTACCATGTGAGTGCTGGGACTCAAACTTAGATCTTCTGGAAGAGCAGCCAGTGCTCTTAGCCTCGGAGCCATTTCTCCAGCCCATAAGGAAACAATTTAAACATTATTTTTATCACAAGAGGAAGGCCCTGATCTAGATGCCGTGTTTGGTGAAAGCCAGTTTGCCAACTGTTTCCACCAGTTTGGGTTTGTTGGTCACTTGTGATGTTTTAACTATCTCCTGGGGCTGGCAAGATGGCTCAGTGGGTAAAGGCACTAGTACTACGCTTCCTTCAATCCCTGAGATCCATATGGTAGAAGGAGAAAATTGACTCCCGCAGGTTGACCTCTGGTCTGTGCATGTGGCCATGGAATGTGCCATATGCACATATAAAATTAATAATTCTTTATTTAAAAATATGTATTATTTGTCTTTCATATCATGCATCCTGATCCCACCCATATCCTATCCCCTCCCACCAGCCATCTGTCCCTGATGCCCCCAATTAAAACAAAATAAATTTAAGATAAAGAAGAAAAAGGAAGGAAGGGAATATCTCGTCGTGGAAACTACAGCGTGACACAGCGAGTCATTCAGTAAACCCCTTTATCCACGCATCTTTACAAGCAGGCGTTCATCACAAAGAATCGTTGGTTTTGTTAGAGACCTGTGGTCTCTGCTGCACCATGGACACTGGGTCCTCACTCACTGGGACCATTCCTGGACATCCTGTTGCTGTCATGGAGAGCCCTGGGACCACCCCCAGTGCCCACCTGTGCACCAGCAGATCACAGATGGAGTGGATGTTAGGTTGGGCCAGCAATTAACCCTGGTTCTGGGCCTGGGTGGGGCAGGGTTGCTCAGCCCAGCAGCTCTTCCCTGTCTTCATCACCAGGGTGAATTCTCCAGCATTGCCTGGCTAGTTCAAACCTGGCTCAGTTCTGACCACAGCTCTGTGCTGCAGGTGAAGCCTCCACTCACAAAAAGGGGAAACTAAGTACAGTGTTTGGGCAACCTCTTCTGGCAAACAGGTCTCTTTGCAGTTGTCCTGAGAAAATAAGGTGCACAGCAGGCTGGCAGCCAGCTGTCATTGAGTTGCTAGAAGAGAGGGGGAGAGAGAGAGGGGGGAGAGAGAGAGAGAGAGAGAGAAAGAGAGAGAGAGAGAGAGAGAGAGAGAGAGAGAGAGAGCAAAAGCCCTAGAATGATTGATCTCCAGATGTCCACTCACCTGAGAAGATTTCCTCTTTCATTCCACAGTCGCAGTCCCCAGAGGAGAACTGTGGGGGCTGCAGAGATGGCTCAGTGGTTAAGGACATTTAACTGCCCTTGCACAGAACCTGAGTTCCCATCTCCCATACCAGGCCACTCACAATCATTTCAGATTTCAGTTTCAGGAGGATCTGACATTGGTATTCGCATGCACACGCAAGTGCACGCGCGCACGCACATGCATACACACCCACACCACCTAGTATATGTGCTAAGGAGACACACTACAGTGTTATTCCTTCTGTCTGCATCTAAAAGCCAAGAGAACAGCTCCTACACAAAGCCAGGGCTTCCATAGAGAGCACCGTGCACCACACTTGGGGCTGTGATCTCTACAAACTGCATTGTTCCCTCTGTACAGGTCGTCACAGACCCAGCTGTACTCGGAGCCCTCCGCAGGAGAACAATGGTCTCCATTCAGAAGCATTCATGCTCTTCTTATTTAGTTGGGGTCGTTCTCGCTGTGATTAAACACCATAAACAAAGCCACTTGGAGAGAAAGGGTTTATTTGTCTTAAATTTCCACATCATAGTCCATCGTTGAAGGGAGTCAGGACCAGAACTCAAGCAGGGCCAGAACCTGGAGGAGGCAGGAACTGGTGCAATGGCCATGGAGGGAGCTGCTTACTGTATTGCTGCTCATCGTGGCCTACTCAACCTGCTTTCTTATAGAACTCAGGACCACCAGCCCAGTGGTGGCCCCACCCACAATGGGCTGGGTCTTCCCCTGTCAACCACTAATTAAGAAAATGCCTTACAGGTTTGCCTACACCTAATCTTATGCGTGCACTTTCTCAATTAAGGCTCCCTTCTCGAAGATAACTGGCTTGTGTCAAGGTGATCAAGACACCTGTGCTCCTTCCTCCCCAAGCATGCCTCCTCTTGTATATCTACATCCCAACCTGTCCCTTGTGCCTTCCTGTTCACTGGTGTCTACTCCTGAGTACCCTTCCTGCCCTGCCGGGACCCATTCCCATGGCCTGTGCACACTCCTGCTCCCCATTACCTCTCTTGCTTACCTGTTCCCTTTGTGGTCAACTGTGGCCTCTTGTGCTCCCCTGAGCATCCTGCTGCCCATACGTGCTCCACTTCCACCCACCTGTGCACTCCCGTCTCCATCCTACACTCTCCATCCTCCTTGTCTCCCCTCCACAACCCAGCCACCTCCTGCTAAGCCACAGCCCCCAGCGCAGCCCTGCCACTCCTGCTGACCCCTGCTCCCTCCAGCACACTATGCCTGGCACCATAAACCCCTGTCCCTTCCTGGACACACATCTTCCATTGCTCACACATACCCCATCCAGCTCAGCTATGTCCCTTCCCCTTATTAATGCCCCTTCCTGCTCATCACCAGGTAATGTCCCCTTGCATACCCAAAGTCGCTCCTGCTAACCC